GCTAATGTTTGGTATAGCTGTCGAAAGATAATTGACCTTTCTGGTGTGTCAAACTTAACTACTGGCCAATCAGAAAAGGTTCACGAATACGCGCTTATACAACAAACACACGTGTTATCCCCACAACAAACGCACGTGTTTGCGTATGTCTTACTAAAAAAAAAAATCTAGAGTTTTGTAGGACCAACAGATTCCAAGGATTGGGCTTATTGGAAAAGTCCATTGCTTTCCAAGACACAGGGTATACAACATTTTTTTGATAATTAATACTTAAAAACCATCGTTCCCATCTTGTAGGCTTGTTATTTTGTTAACCCCACCCACCCCTTCAGTATTGTTGCTAAGGTCCCAAGAGTGTATTGAACTTAATTGTTATAGTAGGTTAATGGAGCCTTGTTTTTTTTTTATTCATTTCAATTTTTTTTTACCAAAACCACAACCAGATTTTAGCATAAAGGAATCATCATTTTATAAAATATGCGCACCAGTAAATTTGAATTTGAAATTCGTTGGATCTTTGCTATACTATTATTTTTGATGTGTTTATTTATATAGAGCAGTTTTAAGTTCTCTTTGTCAGTGTTTTCAGATGCAATAGGCCTATGATCAAAGATAATAAATAGCAGAAGATAGAGCAGCTTCCCAAAATAGTGGAACATCCGGTCGAAATGCATTGTGGGTACACGGAGAAAAACTTTACTGCATCCGCGCGGCGGCGCTATATAGTAATGATAAAGGCGCCGCTCTGGTTCGTTTGTTTCCTGTAGTTTCTCCACTTAGTAAAATGTTCAAATTTTACTGCAACCGCATGAGGGCGGATGTTCCATGGTTTTTAATGCAAATACGCGGAACAGCTCATTCTTCTGCTATTTAAGTTCTTTGCTTTGATACAATTCTGAAGTGTACATTTAATTGGTCATATTTTATTGAACAAAAATAAACAGAATACGGTGTCATAACGTTGTTGGTTTTCTTTGATGTGAACATGTAATGAATATACATGAATATGTATATGACCTTCTGGTTTGAGCTGCTTTCCGGCCAAAATATAAAGCAAAATACTCTCGATGGATAATCTTTCAGTAAAGTAAGACCAAACCAACCCTAGGCCATGCACAATGGGCAGTTTGGCATTAGCATTGTATTATAATTACGCTTTTTCAAAGCCTAAAATCACAATGAAAAGCCGGGGGCTAAATATAAACGGCTGGGGTCGAAACGTACCGTTCTGGAAAACTAACAACAAAGATCATCAAATTAAAGTCTCGATCGCTCAAAGTGATATCAATCCATATTTCAGATTGTGTGGAAAAATAATGACACTTTCGCTGGACCATATGACTTTCACAGGCCCGTACGCAGGGGGTTGCGGCGGGTCCGTACACACCTTCCCGCTTCCAAATTATTAAAGGTCCACATTTTCCAGAGTAGAAAATTCAAAAATTACTCTCGCACATTCTAGAAATCCATCCACCAAATCACCGACCAATCAGAGCAATTTCCAACTGGGACCGCCTCTAATTGTCGCACAAGCAACGACTTTAAAGCTTTTTAAGGGAATTTGTGTTTTCCCCGCCGCTTCCGTGTCAATGATTCACTGTGTACAAACTCATCATCCTTCTATGTGTCACTAAAATCATCTTTATTCTTTCTTGGAAATTATTATACAACAGGCGCGGATTTTAACAGTATTTATATAAGCTTTTCAGAGGAATTTTAGAATTTTCCCTGCCGCCTGCCAATCAATGATTCACCGCGTACAAACTTATCGTCCTCCTAAGTTTCACGAAAATCATCTTTATTCTCGTTTGGAAATCTTCTTGACACAGCAGCCACAGATTTAGACCGTCGCACCATTCGCCATGACGAATGTGAGAACAAGAAATATATAGTACACAAAGAAAAGTAAAAAATAATACAGAAAGATTATGGTTGTGTAGACAAATAACTTATATTTGATTGTTGTGATTGTCAATGAAGCTCTAGAACCACCACAAAGCAGCAGCGATGAAGGATTGTGATGATGACAATTTCCCTAATGTATCTGTGCTTCTGGACTGTGCTGCACTTTCCAGTGGTGGTGCCCCTCCCCCGTCCTTGAATTTGCCCAAATATTTAAAAAAAATACATATATATTCAAATTTAAATCTGAGAGTTCCATCTCTAGCCATAGAGGTGCCATAATCATAAATTTTATTACTCAGCCCCAACCATAGTGGGGTGAGGTATTATAGACCCACAAATATGTGAAAGTCTACTGACGGTAGAATTTGCTCCATAAATTTTAAGTTTTAAAATGATCTGTTATTAAGTGGTAAAGTTTTATTTGCTTATTATTAGAGCGTACTTAACAAAAGAAGTACATCATGGCAGAATATATAAAATTAGAATAATTTTAATTTCCCAAGAAATACCGTAGTTTACAACACAATGGAGAGTAGTGTTCGACACTCATAAGTAATAAGCATGCTAGAAAGTATTATATAATAAATAATAGTAATTATTCCTTTTGTATGTTGTAATTAGTTTAATGTGTTCATAAGCATGCTAAAATATGATAAAGTAAATAGGTCTTGTAATTTGTCCAATTAAGAGTCGTCTTTAAGATGACATCATTGGCGTGAGAATTAGCAGGTTGTACTGTAAGTATTAGTAAAGTGTATCTGCAAACAATAACAACCACCACTATAAATAAAAGTGAATATGAACGGACACGGTTATATTCGTCGTCCTGGCGTATTTCAGGATAAGCCGTGTTGTACTCTACGGCAGCGTATTTAATTGTATCATGCTGCATTGTTTACAATAAAACCGCCAAAATACAAACTTCGTAAAATTAAAATAAACGTTTTAACGTTTTATAATCAGTATTTGTAAGACCTTTACACAAGATGATTTTATGCGTCCATTTCAAAGAACGGCGAATTGTGCATTGCGTCTTTATACCTGTATACCTGCAGAACGGACCTTGTCAATTTTGTCTAACAGTTTCATCCAAGGTGGTACGACTGCTGAGATAAAGAGACTACGCCACGTCGGATGTTGAAGTGTTAAGTACTAAACACAAAAGTATTGCTACTTCAATCATTTTGATAAAATTACTATATTTTGGTTTTTTGGACCATGTACTACAACAACCTGAATGATACTATCTGGATGGCGTCGACTAGGTTAACATTCTGGGTGACGTATGGTGTTGTGATCTTTCTAGCAATGATCGGCAACGCCTTTGTCTTGGGAGTAACACTCTACTATCGGCACCTTCAGACGTCCACCACCGTATATCTTACTAACTTGGCAATATCTAACATCTGCCTTGTATGTATCGAGTGTCCAATAGTTCTTATCCAGTTTGCATTGCCAGGGAACCAATCAAAAGATTTACTTGGAGATAGTAGTGTCGTCTTTTGCGCATCGGCCTTTTTCTTCGGTAACTTTTTCGGCACTGTGTCAGTTTTCATACTTCTAGTTCTAAGTATTGAGCGATTCTGCGCAGTCGTTCATCCGGTAAGCACGCGATTTATTCGGACGCCCAAACGAGCCAGAGCTTTACTCATAATGGTGTGGTCACTTGCTGGATGGATCGCATTTGGTCAAAGCCTTCTTTGTAGCGGAGAAATCGAACACGGCACCTATCTGGTGACTGCTAACATAACCTACAACATCAATTATTGTAAATCCAAACAGCCAGAGAGTAACCCCAACGGAGCGCACGCGTACTCGTCAACCGTGTTTCTCTTAGTCTATGTGTCAACACTGACAGTAACTGTATCTATCTACGTAAAAATTGTGCTATTCTTGAGTAACCAAAAGACGCCGGGGGTGTTTACCAGAGATTCTCCAGTTGTCAACAAGGTTGTCGACAGTGCCAGGTTATCAATTGTGCGCATGATCGATGATCAATCGTCTCCTACTTTTTATGCTACTCTTTGTATTTTTATGTGAATTTGTATTTCATTTACTTCGGAATACTAGCGAACCAAGGTTTTACAATGATGCTACTTGCAAACATACTTGGCGCTGTTAACTGTGTTGTAAATCCCATTTTATATACTATTTTCGTCCAGAGGTATCGAATAGCGTTTAAGCAGGTGTTTAAGTGTGCGTATACTCTACCTGCGTTACGACTTCGTTTCGCACTTTGTCGAGGGAAGATGAAACCAGAAGGAATATATACGGTACATACCCACCGGGAACGGTCGATGACACTGTAAATTCAATACCGAAATCTCGTACGAGTAGTTTCAATAAATCGAGGCGTCAAGACCAGGCCAGTCCCCGGAGCAGGGAGGGAGTTGTTATGCCTCAAAGATATATCTCTGTAGTCGAGTAGGTAATGAATTAGAAAAAAACCCTTAACGGAATTGATTGCTTAACCAAACTTGGTCTAGAAAACAGTCTGGTAATAATAATAAACTATACCGTTGATCGTGATAAAAATGGGCAGATTAATACGTTATACTATCATTGTATCATATAGGTTCGTGATCTGGACATCGAGTAAAAAAAAAAAAACGACCTTCTTTGCCTTTGACGCTCATAAAAGCTTATCTCGTCGTATATTGTAAGAAAGCCACTGAAAATTGATCAGTGGCAGCCATTTAGACAATCTAGTATAGTGTATTTGATGTAGAACTTTGACTCATTATGTAAGGACAGCGTGTGAGAATGTCGTTAGCCTACCTTCAGTGTGAATACTTCAAGTAAGTTGAGCGTTGCCCATTTTAGAGATCAAAGTCTTTGTCACCACCGCCTTTCGATTGCTTCTTAAAATATGAGAAAATACCAAACCGTGCAGGTGGTACTAATTGCAAAAATCGATTTCGTTGTTGTGATTCGTTTTCTGATTGGTCGTGTGAGGTCCAAATAAAGAGGGCACTCTTGATTGATTTCTTATATTTTTTGAGATCTTGTCCTGTCATTAGAAACGCTGTGGACGTATCAATACGAGTGCATTTAGAATTAGTGTCGTTTAAGGTATATACAAACCCCGATACAAACAGTGTGAAAATAGTTGGCCTCCTGTCGATTGGAACTGATTCCATTTGTGTTATGAGAGTCAACAAAAGACAAAATGATGAGTCTGTATTCAATAGTTATTAGTTTATTGCACGTAAACATACGCGGCCTCGAGTGTGCGTACATAATGGACCTTTCCGCTAAGCCTTGAATATTGTAAAAGACTAAAAATATACGTTTGTCGGATCGGACAAGTGTATTTGTAGGACATGCGCGTATTCCAGGGCCAGTTCTGATTGGTCAATTATTGTGTTTCATTGACCCTCCGGAAAGGTCCATTTCATCACAGGGCAATCGGGCAGCTTCTTTGGTCTGCCTTCATTTCCATCCCGCATTCTAATATGTGTGCACACTCTTGCAAAACACAATACAATAGCTGCGTACTATATCATAATAACTTTAACTTTGCATAGTGGACTCAAGATTGCTTCCAAAAAGTTAGGGTAAGACACAATAAGACACAACACGCTCAGCACATATATATTAAGAACATCCGTTAACAACCTTAAGAACTCATTGATAGGACGAGGTCCTGCCCCGTTAGCACCAGGTGCATGATGTCATAGATTATCCCACCTGGTGGTACACTAGTTTGTTGATAAATAAACAAACTAGTGTACCACCAGGTACACTAGTTTGTTTATCAACAAACTAGTGTACCACCAGGTACACTAGTTTGTTGATAAATAAATATTATTTTTATGCTAAACTAAAAATAAATAGATGTTGAAGTTGTAGGCTATAAGAAGCAATTTTAAGTCGCTGATGAATGCTTCATAATGTCCAAGAGCAAAGCTCATGCGTTAATGTTGGCCTACAACAAATTAGCTTAACTTATCAAATATCAGTTATTGTTGTCGTTTTTGTAGTTTCTTTTAGTAACTTAAAAGCACCAGTGATTAACACGTACAGTAGTAAAGTGTTTAACACACTATGGTACTCTGGGTACTGTAATACCAGTCTAATAATTTTGCTAAATTTATCAATTGTTCCTTAGTACAGATATTTTAATTATTTACGTTATTATTAAACTTTTCATTTACAAAATATATATAGCTTGTGTCGAGTGCATACGAATTTACGTAACGGCATAATATTCTTAAAATATTTATCATCAGTACTCTAGTTTGGCCTAGATAATCGGCAAGATTTAAAACATAATACAGTATTGCAATAACGAAGCCATATTCTAAGTGTGCACTGTGATCACTAGAAATTTATAATGAAATAGCGTGGTATAGAAACATTATTGCTAAAAACGAATGGTTCATGAAGAGTTTTACTTACGATCAGTTGCGCGCGCGTACGTTTTTTATGGAATGCAGTGAATGCCCGGACTTAACTCTGGCATGCCTAGTTCAGACTAGTGGATAAACCCGGCTCAACTCACCGGGTTTATCCACCTGCCAGTCTCAACTAGGTGGCTTATCTCAAGCCAAGCTGTGTTCCTATAGTAACTAGGCCTGGCGTGCCACCTTTTCTAAGCCGGACTTTAATCGCTGCGGGGGGTCTTGAATTGACTTCGGGTAACAACATGACAAATCAGCATTCAATTATGTACGCTGTGAGCTAGCGTACGTTTCGCGAGCAATGTTTTGAAACACGGTTCATTTTTATGCAAATTCTCGCGCCTGGCTAATCCCGCTAATCTGAACGCCCGGCAAAGTTAAGCCGGGCTTAACTCAAGCCCGGATTATCTCCAAGTCTGAATGTAGCCTCTGTTGCTTGCATAGGAAAAATAAACCTGCTTAAACTACAATGAAATAGGCCTAGATGTGCAGCCTAATACTGAAGAAAGTAATAAATAAGGAAGTGTCTGTTAAGCAGCCTCATAATGGACAAAACAATGAAAATATGGCATTTAAAAGATAAAAAAAAAAAAAAACGATGATGATGCCCGTATGAAATAATAAATAGCTTTTTACATGATTATGAAAAAATAATTACATAGGACATAACTACAAATTAAAGCTCCCTTTCAGTTGAGAGCCATGCGGAACTGGTTCTTATTTATCTATCTGTTAGTATTGTGTTTTCTATGGTTATGCATAATTAAACTTACAAATCAATTAATATTAAATACAAAGGTTAAACGTTTTTAAGCTTGTAGTTTATAATATTTTGTTAAATTTTATAATTTATTTAGAAAGACATGGGGCGTAGTCTGCCTTTTCTCTTTAAAATTACTGTATTTTGCTGTTTACCTTTCCAACTTTAAACTGATTTTTTTTTTCTCCTCTATTTAGATACCACATAATAAACAATTTTTGTTTTGGTAATATAGTTATTATTGATAAAGGCCTATTGTGTATACCCGTTAAACAAAACGAAAAATGCCGTAGGTGACGTTATTCCGATTAAAGTTAAATGTAAACTATTAATCCTATATGATGTCAATGTTTTAGAAGTGTAACGTGACATGGATTTCCAATTTTTTTATCGAATAAAACAAATCAGAATAATCATTTGTATAAAAACATTTGGGTTTATGTGCGGCTCATTCTTTGTTCATGGAGAATACTTAATAGCTCGTCTTGCAGCCAGTCTTCTTCGCAGACTTCGGAATATATTGTATCTATACACCCGTCTACAAGACATTATAAAACACTTTATAATAAACAGAGTGGCAATCACAACAAGTATTACTATGAAAACCAGCCTCAGCCATAAACTCAGCATGTATTTATCCCATAAATTATGTAATGCTGATTCATTTTCGTCGTTGTATCCCTGTTTGGCAACATGCTCGATCCAGAAGGCCGCCCTCTGTGGTGCTGGCATGTTTTTACCTTTGAGAATCTCAGACCTATATCGTATCTCAATCTTGTACCTGCAACAAATAAAATAATGTACTTAATACCTAAGGTCCAAACTAGTAGTTTCATAAATAGGCTTATCAAGAAGATTGCTACAATTGCTGACAGCAATGCGTATTTGTTATAACTTGACATCCCCTTGGCAATGATATTCACTCCCCATATTTTGCGCTTTCAAAATTATACTCTTAACTTTGACTATTAAATGCATATTTTTAAAATGATGCACCTGCAGAAAATCGGTCAAGTGCACTCTCACAGACTGCACTCTATCGTCTCACAAAGTACACTCGGTGGTCTTACAGTACACTCCATCGTCCCACAGTGCAGTTCATCGTCTTGCAAAGTGCACTCAGTCGTCTTTAAGAGCGCAGTCCATCGTCTCACTAAAGTGCACTCAATTGTCTCTCAAAATTCACCCAATCGTCTCACTAAAGTACACTTCGTACATCGCATTTAGTGCACTCGATCATCTCACTAAGGTGCACTCCATCTTCTTACTAAAGTACTTCATCGTCTCACTAAAGTGTACTAGTCTCCGTCGTCTCACAAAGTATACTTGTTCGTGTTACGCAGGAGGATGAGCATGGGAAAATCCCTATATCAGAACTTCTATTCATAATGTTGGTGCTGTTGTTGCCTAGCTTTTAAATGTTTGCAGGTCAAAAAATGATATCGGTTTTTGCCAATGACATCTTATAACACATCTCCATCGGTCGTTTCTAAGATGCCGACTCGGCCGCTTGCTTCGGTTACCGCCAGTGGATATGGTTTTTCATAAGGGTAAAGGGTAAAGGTAGGAGCATAACCCATAACTTACAGCTCCATTGTGCTGAATTGCGTATGGGCGTGGTCTGTGACTACCTAGCAGCCGTAGATAGGCGCTTCATGGTAGCTAGCTACATGTACATCATATAAAAAGACAATGTGATGAGAACATTAAAAATAAATTTATATAATTATTTTATACTGCAGGTATCTGTATATGTTTATTTAAAAATTCTATATTAAGAAAAAGTGGTCCTGCCAACTGGTGCGGTTCCGACGGCCCTGATCCATCGCATGTATAACAGCGGATGTGATATCAGTTAGAGCCAAAAATGGCCCCCATGACCTTTGAGCAACGGGCCACGGCTCCCTGCGTTACGTCACTCGCTGGAAGGTAGCAGATGCAGTTATTTCAATGTCACAATAAAACATTGCTTTATTAGATTTTTTTAATAGATCGGGGCCCCTGAAGCTCGGGGGCTCAGGTTCAATGAACCTGTTGAACTTGCAGTAGTTACGCCACTAAGAAGATGAAAGTGGCTGAGGCATAGGCCTACTCTAATAAAAGACCAAGGAAATGACTGCAACATTGCATTGACATCGGCACCGGAAGGAAAGCCGAGGAACCAAAAACAACATGGAGACGAATGGTGGAAAAAGAAATAGAGAATGGACATCATGGGGAGCAGCTAGTGTGGCAGCAGCCAAAAGGGATAGGCCTAGATGGAGGCATTCTGTTGGGGCCTTATGCGACAAATGACGCGAGGTATTAATAGGTAGCTAAGGTGAATAATAATTAAGTGATCAGTTAGTCACTTACTTTGGGTTCTCTAGTACCTCTATCATTGCATTATAAAGAATGTCTGACGTCAGACCGTGAGCTTCTATACGTATTCCAAGATCTCTCATGGTGACTCGTTTTGCGTTGTTGAATTGGTCGCCACTGAACGGAATACAGACCATTGGTACCGCGTGGTATATAGCTTCGTAAACTCCGTTCAACCCTGCGTGCGTCACAAATAACTTTGTCTTGTAATGACCTATAACAATGACATTAAATACACTTATAAAAAAATATATAAAATATAATAAACGTTTTAATACAATTCGTGTATCACGGAATTGGTTGAACTGCCTTTATTCGTTTAAAATTGTAAAGCTGGCGTGCATCAGAGCAAACGCAAAGATGTGGCTATTTCATTTAACATCTCGTCATTCTCATTATAGCTTAAGGCGGTATTGTTAGGCCTATTGGCTAGTAAGCCTTAGAAAAGGTTTCAGCTTACACTGCAGAGAATCAAATGTCATGACTGGCGAAGGCGTATTTGTGCATTGCTTTCGTTTGCGTGTCTAAATTGCTCTGAAATTGACTTACCTAAAATATCATTCTGTGGTATGGATTTAACTAATAACGTATTATCACCCAGTGTGGATGGTGGCGTACCCGAGTAACTCCAAAAAACTTTTTGATCAAGTCGTCCAAAAGCAGATGCCCATATGTCCGAGATTTGTTTGTCCATGTCATTGAAATATGACCCGAGGGAGACCACAACAACTCCTTTGTCTCCTGAATTTAGCATAAATTTCTCCATATCCTAAAAATAAATACACTTTAATTAATTAATAAATAAATAAAAATTGGCATAATTATTGCTCTGGTCGAATACTTTGATATGACACATTAAGCCGGACACTCACTGCGTCGTACGATGAATCCACATTTGCTTCCGGCGAGCGATAGACGATGCAAGGCCGTCTGCTGATTGTCAGTGGCAATCTCAAACGGATCCTCATTAAAAAGACGATCCGTTGGGTCCGCGTCTTCGCGTGCCTTCTTCGTCGCATTGCCGTCGCACGCAGTGAGTAACCGGCTTTGGCCTAGTTCAGACTAGGTTGATAAACCTGGCTCAACTCACCAGGTTTATCCACCTGTGTTAGTCTGAACTAGGTGGCTTATCTCAAGCCGGGCTGTGTTCCTATAGTAACTAGGCCTGGCGCGCCACCGTGTTTAACTTTCCTAAGCCGGGCTTTAATCGTTGCAGGGGGTCTTGCATTGACTTCGGGTGACGAAATGACCAATCAGCATTCAATTACGTACGCTGTGAGCGAGCGTACGTTCTGCGAGCAATGTTTTGAAACACGTTTCCTGGTTACGGTTTATTATTATGCAAATTCTCGCCTGGCTATAAACCCGCTAGTCTGAACGCCCGGCAAAGTTAAGCCGGGCTTAACCCAAGCCGGGCTTAAAGCCCCATTCCCGGCAAAATTTTTAGTTTTTAAGAAAAATCTAATTTTTGTATAATGTTATAAAGATTTATAAATATAATACGGAATTGCTAGTTTAACTGAATTTAGACATTCCTAAGAATGAAAATAATGTAAAATAAGACTGAAATTTGATTTTTTTTTGTGTTCCACACAAAAAATAAATGCGGATGAATTTTTAATGTTGATTTTGCGATAGGTCGTGAGAAGAAATATCGTAAGCGCCGAAAACATTAGCCTATCAAACGCTGCTAGGCTAGGCCTAGCCTTACCTCAGTTTAAGGTTCTGTTATCACACATAAAAACGGCGGACATGATATTTTCCGTTGGTAGTATTGACACTTGTGAATATAATATTTCACAGGGATTATTTCAAATTTGTTAAAAAAAAACTGATTCTGACTGAGATTTTGACACTTAAACAAACATATCTCAGCCTAACCGAACGACCGCATTGTGCGAGATGCGAAGTACAAAAACCAATCTTATTAGAGAGAGCGCACTTTATTGACTGTATAAAGTATACATAAAAGCGAGAGTATTCCAGTGGATGCGATCTACAACCTCTGAATTTGCCTAGTAACGATGAATTCGTCGAGAAAATGGTAATATTTTATGAGAAATAGTCTGTATTTCTCA